AAAATACCTACAAAATTAATCTCTCAGGTGAGTAGGGTGTGTCTACTACCTTTAACGTTTATGACATTTTTCTTTTTGATACAGGTTCAGAATTGAGGTCAAATCTTTTTTAAGAGGGAGGAGATGATGTTAGCATGGACTGGATCAAGTTGGCGGAAATGATATCTTAATGCCAAGTGGGCCCATTACAAAGGAGAGAGCTAAAAGATTACAACAAGTTTTCTAACTTTTTATCAAAATGTGGATCAATGAAGAAGATGAGTTTGGACCAATTAAAAAAGTCCAAGGAAAGAAGTCGACATGACCATTAATCCAATGGTATAATAGTATATACTATTCACCCTAAGTGCAAGAGGAAAATAAGCAATAAAAGGAAAAAATTTTGCAAAACATAAAAAGAAAAATTTACATAGAATTTTATTTCCTAATCATGTGGGAAATCTTCACAGTTAAAGATCAACCAAGAGGGAAAATTGCTCATAAATTGCAAGCTATCTTGAGAAAAAGAGGAAAACTCCTTAAATGTCAAATCTCGTAAAAAAAAATATTCGAGAAAGAGAAAAATATTTTGGCAGAATCTCTTTTCCTAAATCAGCTACAATTAATTAAGATATTTCCTAAATCAGCCACAATTAAGTAGTTGTAATTTTTTTAATTTTTCTTAATTTTTCATTCTAATCTAAATTTAATTTTCTATGTAATTTCTATTATTAATTAAGAGATTATTTTTTCTCTTATTATTCGTATAACCTACACTATAAATAGGTCTTCAATTTAGAGTTGTAATTCAATTTAAAATTTTCAATTTATTAATAAAATTCAGGTATTCTTGTTTTAAGATTTCAAGCTTATAAGAGCGAGTGAGTGGGTCTTCGTTCGACTTGTTGTACTAGGAATTGGGATCATTTATCGAGATAAGTCTCATAGCGTCTTTTCAATTCTAAATCTTTATTTCTTTCCTATTTACTTTGGTTTTCACTCTTTAATTCAGTGCGGGTTAAGTAGGAAGAGTTTACATAGGGGTTTTGAGTTTCTGATTGCTGATGTATACGTAAGGTTTTATATTCCATTGTTGATCCCGGATTCCGCATCACAAAGTGTGACTTTCGAATACATGAAGATGAACTACTTAGGTTCTGAAATCGATTATGTGTCCTCGACGATCATAATTTAAAATAAGAATGATTAAAAAAGTTTCATTACTCCAAGTTAACAATGTACCAAGAGAGTAAAAAAACGTATCATAATTTGAAATCTCGATTTTGGTGGAATGGGATGAAAAGAAACATTGTCTAGTTTAAATCACGATGTCTCACTTGTCAACATGTTAAGATGGTATATCAACGACCCGAAGGACTTTGTCAACCCCTACCCCTCCCAAAAGTTAAATGAGCTTTCTCAACATTTTAATGTGCTCAGAAAGCCTTGTTAATAATGTGGAGACCCCTTTCCTGGCATTTTAGAGTGCCTATGATGGTTGTGTATGAGCCTAGAAGCACTTGGGTGGGATATCACGGCTCTCCCCGTGTTTCTAGGCGCTTAGGAGGACTTTGTAGGGCACCATTGCCCCCATCCTGATGGTTTAAAATTTCCATTTTTATGATTTCCATATACTCATATACACAAATCAAAAGGGATGCATTAAAAACACACACACACATCTAAAACCGAGAAAAATACACTTGAGAAATAGTTTAAATGGACACCTCCCATACATATATATCATATTATTAGGTTGTTCTTACTTATTTGTGCTTTAATTCCTCTCATTTTGGTTGTTAAAACATCCTCAAATTCGACCCTGAAAGCCTTCCCTAAAACGTGAACAAAAAACCAAGAGTGTGCACCTCGATTAGTCAGGTTTACTTGACTAGCCTGCCCTTCCTGGCACATGCACACTATCAGTTAACCATTTTCTTGCTAGGGTAACTAGTTTAGTTACTCTATTTTCTCATGCATTTTATCTTAAACGAATCAGTAGGAACTTAAAGGAAATCTTAATCGGGAAATCAAGTTAGGTTTTTAAGCTATTATACCTGCAAACAGGGTACTTCTGGGGGCTTCCTATACTTGTTTTATGCTCCATCTTTGAAACAACAAGGGTGTTTCTTTCTTTTCCTAAGCACCAAAGCCTTCTGGTTTAATAAATCGTATAGATGAGTAAAGAAAATGACCGAGAGAGTTGAGGGATTTATGTCAAAGAAACAGGCCTCCATGTGCTCTATTTCCTTTCTTCTCACTCTCTCCCTCGCAAGTTCTCCTTTTTGTTTTTGACTTCCAAGCGATTTCTTCCTTCTCAAGTGTTCGAGTGGGCTATTTAAATGGGATTTTTAGAGCATTTTTTGCCATTGAATCACATGCAAGTGATCCGGGCCATTAAAGGAGAGAGTGGTCGATCGATTTTGGGTGTGAGCCAATGGATTCTGGCCACTTGGTACTTATGCATGTCGGGTTAATTATGAGGTCTTGCAGGTGGGGGATTTTTCTTCCATTCTCTTACGTAGGGGATTTTACCTGTTTTGAGGGATTTTTCCTCTTTTAGGCGATTTCCTCCTTTCCGGAGGATTTTTCTCCCTTGGAAATCTTTACTCTTTTTGAGAAATCTTGCTGTCGAGGATTTCTCTCTCTTGGGGGGTTTATCTCCCATTTGGGGGATTTTATATACCTCCAAAGGAATTTATCCCTTTTCTGAGGGATTTTATCTCTCTTGGGGGATTTATCCATTCCCCGAGGGATTTTGTCCCTCTTGGGGAAATTAATCCCTTTTTTTGGAGAATTGTACTGGACTCAACTATGTTTAAATAAACCTTTTACCAAAATTTATGTATTTTGATTACTCAAGAGTTAATTTTACAGCATTACAATCCCCTAATAATGTAAAATTTTATGGGTCTTTACATGTGAGGTCAAGTAAATGATTCAGAATTCTTGTAAAGAGGAATCATATAGTACCAGAAACGAGATAAATATTCCTAAAAACAAGTTTTTTTTTTTTGAATAACTAATTCATTTAGGACTCTGCAGATCCATTCTTTTTCCTATTCCGAGATTAATCATTTATCTTTGTATTTCCACATCGAGAATTCTTTGCAGATAAACAGATGCCAAATGAGCTTCTTACTTCCCAAACAGATCCTCCTAAATCTATATATAAACATTGGTTTATTAAGAATACACAAGAAAAACACTTTAAATTGTTGATTCATCGCCAGAGATGACTTAAAACGAATAATTCATTATTTAATGAACTTTTCCATTCTAATACTCTATCCAGGAGCTATTAGTATTTATTAAATCCATTCCTATTTATCAGTATGTTATTGGATCAAATGACAAAAGATATTGTTGAGAAAAAAATGGTTTTTTCCGAATTAAATGAAAATTGAATTCATGTGACAGAAGAAGAAATTTTTATTACCTAGCTGGAAAGATATGCGCCAAAGAAATAGGGATTAAATGGGATAGAATTGAATGGGTGGTAGATCAGTTAATCTCAAGAATCAAACAAGTGAGGTGATTTCATTCTTTTTAGTCTAACTAATTCTTAAGAAATGAATATCGTTCTCTTGAAATAATCTATGAATTAAAACCTACAACCTGAAATGCCAAAGAGATAGCTCTCTAACTAATAATTCCAAACTCACTGTGTGAGAAATTTTCTCTCCATCTTTCAACAGGTAAAGTAAAAAGAGAAGAACAACATACTCAATGCTTAAAGAGGAGTACCTTCCTAGTAAGAAATCAACATCATATCTCCGATAATAAGATCAAAACAAAACCATTGATTAAATCCCTTCATTCGTTCATTAATCATCTAGTGCATGAATGCATTCATATTGAACAGATTCATTATTTCAAATTTAAACAGAAATTGAAATCAAAATGGTTAAGAGAAGAGTTCAGATTTACTCAAAAGAAACCTTCTCTTAATTCCAAAAGCTTTTTTCGTTCTGCTCTCCCACTTGCCTATGTTTTCTTTTCCAAAACTCCCTTTGACCTCCCCATTAACTGACTCTGTTTCTTCTTCTCCTTTCTCTCTTTTGCCCTTCACGGTTTTACTCAATCTCACCCCTCTTGCTCACTCTTCTGTTTACCCTTTTTCTTTTTTTTTTTTTCTTTTTTTTTTCTTTTTTTTTTTACGCACGCCTCTCTGTCTTCCTCATCTTTCCTCTCTTTTCTGTTTTTCTTCCTCTAATATCCACCCCAGGTCTCCCTCTTATATCTCTGGAGCTCACTATTTCTCTACAAACAGAAGTTTTTTCTTTCTTTCTCTCCCTCCTTGGCTGACTCTCTCTTTTCGGCAACTCTCCTTCAAAAACCACTCTTCCTCTGATTTTATAGAGCTCTTTTCTCTCTCTTACTAATTATCGCCTTTACTCAATAACCATCATCCTGAACCATCATTGATCACCTCATAAACGCAATTTCCAAAACCAAAAGCCGAAATCCCCTCGTTTACCGCTGCTCTTCTCTGAATCCTGAAGTTTCTCAATCAGCTCTTCCCACTCCTCAGTCCATACTTCTATTATGACTGACGCCGTTCAACCTACTCAAGCCCACTAACTCCTTTATTCCCTTCATTATTATGATCTTAAGCAGCCCTAAGCCCCCTGCTTTCCCTTGTCTCGTTCTGTTAAGAAAGGAAGAAGACGAAAAGATGGAGGCCAAATCGCCCCGTTCTGTAATAAAATTTCATTTCCCAAAACGATAACGTTTTGGCGAAGAAAATTAAAAGGAGAGGGGAATCTGGGCCGAGAAGGAAAGAGAAACTTTTAAAGTAATGGGGAGTAGGTTAATCCAATTAATACGACTTTAGTTGTCTGGAAGCAATAATTCTTCCATGGGATATTTACATATCAATTGGTACCGCATAGTTTCTGTTGTGAGTATAAAATTGCTGTTAAATAAAAATGTTATTATAATATGAGGTTTATCGGAATATTATTATAATATAATTCATTTTTTAACAATTATTTTGTTAATAAAAAGGAAAATCGTTATTGTCTAAATCTTTTCCAAACTGTTAAAAATAAATAAAATTATAATGAGATAATAATAACAAAATTTGGCAAGATGAAGTAAACTCGAAGACAGAGTCCTGCATCACCAAGGTTTCAAGTCTCCTACTGGTCCTACAGTCCAATTTAAAATTGCTTTTCCAGGCTTCAAATAAATGCTCTTCTCATGAGGAAGCTTGCGAGCAAGGCCATTCAATATTTGGTGGAAAGCATCCCCAGGTTGAGCAGGTTGCGGGAACAACATTGCGCGCTTCATTGATGGATTAGCAAGAAGCCTCTGTTTTCTTAAGATCACTTCCACTGGAATGGAGGTAAGGATTGAATCCAATTTGGGCACGTCGTCTTCCTCAACAAATACTCCGATTTCTTCCCAGGGGATTGCATCAGCAAAGGGTAAAACAATGTCATCGGCTATGATTACAGGAATGCACCCAAATACCACAGCTTCAACTAGCCTCGGACTCCATGGTGCCCATCCCAGAGGACACAGACAGAATATAGCTCGCTGCATGTCTTCATAATACATAGTTGGATGGTCGGTGGAGATGTCAAAGAGATTATTGTTTTTGAAATTTTCCCAAACAGCTGCCCTTGCACCTCTGCAGTTTAACTCAATAGTTTAGATTGAAAAAAGGAAAAACAGAACATTATGATTCTACGGATTGAATATGAACGATGAAGCCAAGAACGGTTGAAAGGACCCAATTTATTCACTAAACGTCTTAAGTGATTTTTAAAGGGTTAACAGCAAGTTTTAATGGGATATTCACGCAGCTTAAGCCAATGTAGACAAATTTATTTTTACTAACATACCTCGCATAGTAACCACCTTCTGGGTCATTGTTCACGTCATAAAATAAACCACGAAAGTAGACAAATATGGAACGGGGTGTGTCTGGACGAATCAGGTGGGCCTTCATTTTCTGCGGAGGAGCATAAGGAGGGATTGTAATTGAACCCTCATTCAAGCACACATGGTTTCGCTGACCAAAAGTTTGAACCAAAGTAGCACGTTGGAGCAATGGAAGAATTCCTCGTTCGATGGCTTTCTCCTCCTGCACAAAACTCCCTAAAAAGTCAAATTCCTAATAAAGCTTCTAGAACCAATTTTAAGTTCTTCCGAAGTCCGAATCCAGTCTGGTTCAAAAGTCAAAGAATCCACAAACCAATACAAATCAAAATTTAAGTGCTTAGTGTTTTATCTGAGTGAAAGTTTAGCATAAATACTGACAAAATGTCTTGACTGGAACTGCAGCTTCTCTCAACAAGACATCTCAAAGTATTTGGACCAGTTAAAAACAATATAGAAGTGTTTTGTTGAAATCTACGTGGACATTTTCAGATAATCTCTCTTATGTACTGATATAAATATTCATTTCCTATAAATTCTCTCTCAGATGATATATGTAATTATTGAGCAAGAAGCAAATTTCGAGCTTCAAAAATGAAATCATCATAATAGCCACAAATATTAGTCATGCTAGAAGTTTAACCGTTGATAGTTTCTAGGTGAAGCTACAGAAGGTATAACCTGATAATGGAAGCAGGCTCCAAAATCATGGGGAACAACAAAGAAGTGATCAGCTCCTTCCGTCCGATTCCAATAAGGCCAGTTTGTGGAGATAAGCTGTATTGCACTCCTCATCATTCGTGGAGACTTGAAAGGCAATGGCAAGCCAGTTGGGGTGAGATCACAAGTGGTGTATATAGGTGTATAAAACCAATCAGCTTCCTCAGGATCAAGGGTCCGAACAGGACTGGACAAGAGGAACCTGTGCATAAATATCTCAGCTGCAAACATATGTGTAAGACATCTAGGGTCTTTTTGGAGTAACTTCTTGTTATATTTGCTTGGAAGCTCATATACATAAACTTTCAGTCTTCCTACAGGATCATCTTCCAGGACATCACCAGCACTTCCTGAAATATTTCCATAGGTGAACTATAATATCAGTTTTTCATAGATTATCAAGCATAACAATCAGAGGACATAAAAGTGCACAAAATTATTCTAGGAAGCTGAATTTTCTTACATAAACGAAAACAAGTCATCATGACACAGCTAATTCAAAACAGAGCATATATTACCATCAAAAAGAAAAGGAAAACTAGACATGAATAGAGAATATTGGAAAATTAGATATCAGCTCATTTATTTGACATTATGTCTGTTTTCTCCAAATTATCAAATTGTCTAAGAGATACGAGAAGGAAGCAGGTTCTAGAAAGGATAAATTAAATCATAATCGGTGGCTTACCATAATCATCACGGTAAATATTCGGAAGAAATTAGCTACCTCAAAAACATAACCAAAACTAAAACTAGGTTGCTCATAATCAGATCAGAAAACTTAGAGGGCAGGGTTTAGATCTTTTCTCACACTCAAGTGGTTATGTCCAAGAAAGGAACATCACAGTCATGTTCACATCAAAGATAACATTGCAAAGAACGTCAAGAGGCAGAAAAACATTCTATGACGAGTTGCATTGCAACAAATCATATATCACAGCTCATTCAAGAAGAACATATTATTACCAGCCAAAAAAAAAACTAAGACCTGAACTTTAAGTCTTTTGAAGCAGAAATCAAGTAATTTATTTATCTACAGGTAAATATCAAGTGCCCATCCCAGACCCAGAGTTTGGATATGTCACGAAATCATTCAAAAGATTATGATAGGAGAAGGAATCAAGTCCTAGAAAGGAGGATGACTACATTTTTTCCTTAGTTTGTAAATCTACAAGTATCTTGTAAAATGTACTTTTGAAGCTAGCTCATTAAAAAGACTAATCAAGATAACTGGTGGTCCAGAAAGAAGAACTACAGGCGGAAAGTTCAGAAGATTTTAATCCTCAACTATGCATGTCCGAGAAAGGATCACCACAATCGTCTTACAAGGGAAAAAAAGACTAATCGAGCTCCATCATTTAGTGGAAAGAGGAAAAAGAGATGCATATGGGTTAACAAAAGGAGGTTGCTTCAGACCATTTTGAAGATAGTTTCTTCTTTTCTCCTTACATCTAACTTTCCAGGAAAACCAACATTGCCTTCATTCCCGAGGTCCCACCACATGCGTGGATTCAATTCTTGAGTTATGCAGTGATAAAATTAAACACTATATAGGAAAAAGTAAAAAGCTAAAATAAATCGATTAATAGATCGATTAGCATTGAATGCATGTTATTATCCTTCTCAAATCCCAATCAGCCAACAAGAGGATCAATTGACTCATAGTCCATAAACCAGAAGTTAAAATTAATCAGGGCACAAAATTTGAAGGAGCAAATTAACAATGCAAAAGAAAAGTGAACCAGAAGAATCAAAGACAACTTATGCATGAGTAAAGAACAACAATGATATGCAGCTGTGAAGCAAGTTTGAATCAAAAGTGAAAATTTGATGAAACAAGGAGAAATTAAAGTACCTGAAATTCTCTCCGTGCGGACATTGTCCTCAGCACTAATCTTCCAAGAAAGACAAACTGCAAAAACAATAAGAACCCATATCCAAATCGTCATTCTTTTGCCTGCAACACCCATCTGGACCAAAAATCAAAATGGGTAGTTGAGGTTCAGAAGCAAGGTGAATCAAAATGAAGTATTTAAGAAGAGCATGTGGTTGGCACGTCATGGGAGTAGTAGTTGAGGAGTTCTCTTCGTGTTTAGGTTACAGCAAAGAATAAGAAACGGAAGTTTTTTCTTCTCTTTTCATTTCTTTACAAGTGACAGAGAAAGGGAGAGAGAGAGAGAGAGGAATTGCTTGAAGAAACAGAGCGAGATGATCATAGTAAATGTCAGAATGAAGATAAATAAATAAATAGATAAAAAGACATAAATGGTTTGCCGGTTAGTGAAAGCTTCGTTTGTTTCGCCAGTTTGATGACATGTCCATCTCACAAGCCCGTTCAGAAATCAAATGGTTTAAATGCATGAAAATGTTTTTATTTAATTTTTTAAGTCAGTCTATAATTTCTTAATTATTATTATTAAGTTATTAACTTTTTAATTTTTTTTTCCAATTTAGTCCTTTAGTTACTAATTATATTAAATTTAAATAAATTGATTACCTCAGTATACCATATATATTTAATTCATTAAGTACATCATTGCTTAACTCATTGGAAAGTCATTCTAACCTATTACTATTTTGATCTAGACTTGCTCAATGTTCTCTCAATCCAAACCTGCTCGTTTTTCTTTTTTCTTATTATGAACTTGATTGCAACTCCTACTTATTTTTAAAATACTGAATTCATAAGCTTTTCTTTTATGAATCCAATCTACATTTTGAATTTTCAAAATTGTTATTTAATAATTTGCAATTAAAATTTGACATATAATTTATTTTTATTGAATTCAACGCATTTAAAAAAAATAATAATAGAAAGTTAGAATTACATATAATTCGAAGAAAACGATACAGTCATAACGTGATTGAAAGACTCTTTTTTAAAATTCTTAATTCTCTTACTCACTTCTTCTCTATATTCAACTATTGTGCACAAAAATGAAGAACTTTAGTTGATGAAAAACTCTTATAAAAGGAGAATTTGTGTTCTTTTTATAGATGAAAGAAGATGCCAAAGTACATTTATAATAATTGAATGTGCTGATAACCGTTTATATTATTAGACTTTAATTATCATAAAATATAATAATTATATAATTTATTTTAAAGTTATCCACTCTATTAAGGTACTTTTTTCTTTATAATGATTATCTATTATTTTAGATATCATTTCAGTTGGTTTCAACCGTTATGAGTGGATGAGAAAAAATAAAACAGCATGTTGATGGGCCATTCACTTTTACTGAAATTAATACTCTCTCACTTGCCCCACTAAATCGATTATGAAAACTGTGATAATATATATATTTTTATATTAGAAATATATTTATTGATAAATAAATTTGATACATAATCTCGATAAAATCAGCCAACAAGTTCAAAATTACTACAATATAATACTGAATTAACTTATATTATAAATGTGAATCATAGTGGTCACATGACTTCAATCTCGTATTTCTTTCTATGCACCACACATCAATAACTTTTACTAATTCAGTTCATAATACCAAAAGAGCCTCTGTAATTTAAGAAAGTTCTGCCACGTGGGACGCCCGGTCAACAGCTCCGATGAATCAAGACACGCTGCGTGGCAGCGGACGCTGACGCGGTGCCACACAGGAGACCACACGGCCGATCTGCATGCCCGCGATCGAACGGCCCAGATCCGTTCTCGCACGAACGGACGGTCCAAATGCATTTCCTCCCCAAACGCGCTAAATTACATGGATAGGAGGTCTAGCTTGACTCTGGTTCATCGCATAATGTTGGGCACAACCACATATACGACAGGTGTTGTTGAGGCGATAGCAGAGTCGGTTCCCATGATCCCTGCCACAATACTGACAAATCTTATTGCGTCCTACCACTAGAGCTTGAGGGAGAGCTTGGATCATCGACATGGGCCTCTTGTTCTGTTGAACAGGTGCAGTAGGTGTTGGTCTACGGGGTGGAACTGAGGGCCTGAGGTTCTCTGCTGCTTGAGAGAAGGTGCAGAGGCTCCTCTCCACTAACTGTGCTTTAGCCAGAACAACCGAATTAAGTACTGAGCTCCAGCACAAACAACTGCTATCTGATCTCTGGACAGATTTTTGTGTTCATTCCATTTTTAGAAATTTAATTTCACTATCCAAATCAGATGTTGGATATTCAATTTATTTTGGTTGTGAAAAACTAAGTTTAGTGTTTAATTCAATGATAATTAGTTATGGAATTTTATATGACAGTTTATATAAATTTTCCTGAATAATGAATTTGCACAAGCTTTAGTTATCTTGCATTTAAATATTAGTTCAAAACGTGACTTAATTAATAAAAATTCTTTATTCTTATGACATAAAAGGCTAGGGTATATCTCTAGGAAAATAGTTGAGAGATTAGTGAATGATGGAATTTTATAAAATCTTGACTTCACTGATTTCAAAGTATCCGTAGATTGCATAAAATGAAAGCAAACTAAACATATAAAAAAAAGTGCCATAAGAAATAATAAGCTCATTGAGATAATTCATACGGACATTCGTGAACTACTCTTCATTCTTTGTTTCACTGAAGAGAGATATTTTATCACTTTTATAGATGATATATCTCAATATGGTGATGTATATCTAATGCATCATAAGTATCAAGCTATTGACATCTTTGAGGTGTATATTACAGAGTTTGAGAGATAATTAGATAAAAGGGTTAAGATTGTGATATCTGATTGAGGTAGTGAATACTATAGTAGATATGATGAGTTAGGAAAAAATCTTGGTCTCTTTGCCAAATTCCTATAAAAACATGGCATTCATGCTCAATACACAATGTCAGGTATGCCACAGCAAAATGGTGTTGCTGAAAGGCGTAATTGTACTTTAATAGAAATGGTTGGGAGTATAATGAATTACTCTTCTGTACTTATTTCTTTATGGAGTGAAGGCTTAAATACCGCAATGTATATCTTAAACAGAGTTCCTAGTAAGACAATATATATAACTCCTTTCGAGTTGTGGAATGGTAGAAAACCAAGTTTAAAAAATTTACATATATGGGGTTATCTAACGAAGGCAAGAATCTTCAATCCTCACGAGAAAAAACTAGATTTAAGGACAATATTTGAATATTTTATTAGTTATCGAGATACGTCTAGAGGGTATAGATTTTACATTCGTAACCATGGTAAAAAAATAGTTGAAACCAGTAATGTCAAATTCTTAGAGAATGACGAAATTAATGGGAGTGAAGAACCAAGAAAAGTAGATATTGAGAAAATAAGAGTGGATATCCCACCACCGTTTTTGCCTTAAGAGACAATTATTGCTCAACCTTCTCTACAAGTTATGGAAAATGGGCTATATAATGGAAATGGTTCATTACCATAAGAAGATATCGTCATTGAAAATATTTTACAACAGCCTTAATTAATGCATTTGAGAAGATTTCAAAAGGAAAGAAAATTTGTTTTATCATATAATTATGTGGTATATATACAAGAATATAATTTTGACATTGGGATAAGAACATATCCAGTTATGTCTTCACAAACCATAGAAAGTGATAATTCTAATAAACAGATAGAAAGGTATGAAAGAATAGTTAAAATCTGTGGACCATAATGATATCTGGGATCTTGTCGAATTGTCCGATAATTGTAAACGTGTCAGTTGTAAATAGGTCTTGAAGACCAAACACAATGCTAAAAGCAGTATCGAATGATTTAAAGCCAAATTAGTGGCCAAAAGTTTTACTATAAAAAAAGGTATAGATTATAAAGGTACCTTTTCTTTAGTTTCTAAAAAGAACTCCCTTAGAATTATTATGGCACTTGTAGCACATTTTGAATTAGATTTACATCAAATGGATGTGAAAACTACTTTTTTGAATGAGAATTTAGATGAAGATATCTATATGGAATAATCTGAAGGGTTCACAAAGAAAAGAAAAGAAAGTGTAGTTTACAAATTAAAGAAATCCATTTATGGTCTTAAACAAACTTTCAGACAATTGTATATAAAGTTCAATGATACCAGTACATCTATCGGATTTAAGGAAAATACTATTGATCAGTGCATATATAATATCCCAAATACCTGGTGGGGTATGAGGGTGCTGATAATAGAAAACAGATACGAGTGCAATAAAAAATATATGCGGTAGAAATTATAAATCCCTTACAATAAAAATATAGGATAAATATTTATACAACCAAGACCAACAAGGAGTCATCAAATAAATATACATAAAAGTTACTTAATTACAAAATAATTTTTCATTAGACCATGAATAAAATAAGCACTTATAAATACTCTAGGGATCCAAGGAAGGATCGAGATAAGCTTTGATGGGCAACACTGCATGCGGCTCATCATTATCATCATCTGAGAGGTCCCAACATGGAAAGGGTGAACTCTATGAAACTCAGTAAAGAAAATAATATTTAAACTACACTGCTAATAAAGAGTTAACGACCTTAAAATGGACATTCTTACCCAATGACATACCTTGGAGATCTATCGTGGAGTGAGGTAAACTTAAATATTTAGAAAAAAAATTATTCCTTAGGGAAAATCATTTGAACATGTCAAACAGAGCAATAATGCACAAAGATAGGCAAATTGATGCTTTCAATAAAAAATGAACTTAAATAATAATACAAATTGATGAAGAAACATAACATAAAAAATAACTGCATTTTTACGTCTTTTACAATTTCTTCGCGCGAAATTGTTATGACATATATCTATTGAGAGTAGAGGGGATTCTCAATTACTACTGTGAATGATATCATTTTATTTCATATCAGCACGTTACCGTGTGCTAAGCCTCAGCACGTTACAGTATGCCAAACCATTATAAGGGTGAGATCTATGACCACAGTCGTACATTGCTACTATGTCCCTTACCTATGGCTCTACGAATTCCACTTTCATAAAAGGAAATGCTCCTCATTCATAGGGAGTGGTTCACTAACAAGAGTCAGATTTAAAGACAGAGATAAAAATCCTTCAGAGATAATAGCTTAATGGATTTTTAATCATTTTCTCTTTTTCTTACTTCATATCAAACTGCAATTGACATACACCAAACTCGTGGGTTCTTTCTGCTTACCTTCACACAAAGCTCACCACAACACAATTCAAAAAAATACAAAACATATCAACATATACAATACGATAGTACATTAATCATATTTAATGTCACATGTTTTCACAA